CTAACCTCTGATCTAGATTTGCGCGTCCCTCTGATGTTCCCTCTCTGGCTCTGGCTCACGTGCACTGTCTCCGGTAAGCTGTCTGCCTCCGACTCTCCCTGCTCCCTGCAAAACTCCAGCTGCCTCTTTTTGTCTGATCCAACCCCCATCTCTGTCTCTGGCTCTCTTCACCCCTCCTCTCTGACCCTCCTTCTCATCCCTTACTTCAGGTCCAGACCCCCGGAGAAAGGGGCTGGACACCAGCCCCTCTGGACCTCCCAATGTGACCCCGGGCTCCACTGCACTGGGCAGACGTGATGGCAGGGACATGGGCCTGGAGGCCAGCCCCAGACTCCCCAGCCTCCTTGCCCACCCTGAGATTGCTGACAAGGATGGCGGCTTGGAGTCCCCCCCAGGACTATGGGACTACAGCTCAGATACCTCCTTTGTCACTGTGACTGAAGCTTCTGGGACTGAAGATCCGGCTCCGCATACCTCCTCCTGGGCTGGGTCATTACCCCAGACCAAGCAGGGACTCCTGCCTGGTATTCGACCTTCCCAGAGGATACCAAGGTCTCCAGGTACCCCACAGCTGGTGCATCGAGCTGCCAGGGCAGACAGGGAGGCAGAACTAAATACCCGTCTGCGGGCCCTGACTCTGACCTCTCCAGATGCCTCCCCCTCCACCATATCCCTCCCTGATGGGAGCCCTGCCCCAAGCCCCCCTCGGGAACCACCGCCTGGACTCCCCAACTCCCCCTTCCTAAAAGACGAAGAGGTGTCCCTCGACAGTGATGTGGCTGCCCTCTGGCTGACGGAGGACGAGGCAAGCTTCACAGGTGGCAGGGACCCTGTTCCCTCTTGCCGGTGCCCTCCGGTCCCTGCCATGTCTGACCTGGATTTGCTGCAAGGGCTCCGAGCACTTGGCGAGAGTCCCGGCCCCATCACACCCTTCACTCGGCCATACCACCTCCGACGGCTGGAAGAAGCCCATGCTGCTCCTGGTTAGTCTGTAAGAGGCATCCAGAGTCCAAGGAGCCTCCAGGAATTCCTGGAGACCCCTGTCTCTCAGTCCTGCCTATTTTATTCTTTGTCTCTGGGAAAAGCCCCTTCTTCTGTCTGCCTTGACTCAGTCCCCCCCCCCCCCCGCCCAATCTGGGACTCAGACTTTTCAGGGCACAGCCCAGAGCTCGCCGAAGCCCTGCGGACAGGCTGTATCCCAGATGCCCGGGCAGATGAGGATGTGCTTGCCCAGCAGTTTGAGCGGCCAGATCCCAAGAGAAGGTGGCGGGAGGGGGTCGTGAAGTCCAGTTTCACGTATCTACTATTGGACCCCAGGTACTTGGGGCAGGGATGACTCAGAGGTGGGAGCTGGAAAATTCTAGGATTGGTTCTTATTTGCTTTGTATCTTTAAAAGGGGGACTGGCTGTGTCTGGGCATCAGCTTCTTTAAAAGGTTGGTTAGACCAAGTTCAAGCTGCTGAGTGTCCCTAGGGAGCATCTACCACTCTCTGCCTTAGAAAATGGGGCTCACTGGACATGGATTCGGGTTGCTCTGTGAACTTAGAAACTGTCTCCGGGGCAACTGTCATCACTTCTTCCTCTCTGAGCTGCTCCCCTCATCCAGGGAGACTCAGGACCTGCCGGCTCGAGCCTTCTCACTGACCCCCGCTGAACGCCTTCGGACTTTTGTCCGTGCCATCTTCTATGTGGGGAAAGGGACACGGGCCCGGCCGGATGTCCACCTCTGGGAGGCCCTCAGGCTCCGTCGGCAGCCAGGAAAGCAGGTGCGGCTAAGGATCTGGGTCATGACAGGGGCAGCTGGGCCATGGGGAGGTAAAGGGAGGAGGGGATTGGAGGGCAGACCCCTGACCCCACCCTGGTCCCCTAGGCCTGCCCCAAAGTGCGCCAGATCTTGGACATTTGGGCCAGTGGTCGTGGTGTGGTCTCCCTGCATTGCTTCCAACACGTGGTTGCTGTGGAGGCTTATACTCGAGAGGCGTGTCTTGTGGATGCTCTAGGTCGGTGCCTGGCTTGTGGGGTGGGGGTGGGGTCAGATGAAGGACCCTTGATCTACTGATTACCTCACCCCTTTCCTCTCATAGTTGTTCATTCATTCATGCAATGAGCAGTTATTGAGCACCAACTATGTACCTGCACGCGTATATATTTTGCTCTATTGGTTTGTCCCTGCTTAAGAGCAATATGCAGTGGGTTCCCTGTCACATCTGCCAACGGTTTCCAAGGCTGCCTGACCCTTCATCTCTCCAGGGCTCCAGACGCTGACCAACCGGAAACAAGGACACTGCTATGGAGTCGTGGCGGGCTGGCCAGCCACCCGGCGCCGCCGCTTGGGGGTGCATCTGCTGCACCGCGCCCTCCTTGTCTTTTTGGCTGAGGGTGAGCGAGAGCTGCGGCCCCAGGACATCCAGGCGCGTGGCTGAGTACTGGGGAGTTGGCCATCCAGCCTAGGGGGAGATCAGGGTGTTTGAATGTTGCAGCTGCCCCATGCTGACGGCAGCCACCCATCTCCAGAAGGCTGCCAGGGGTGAGGGGGCGGCGGGCAGGAGGGTGTATCTTCCCGCCAAGCTGAGGGAAGACTTTGTTACAGATAAGAGCTTCTGGAGCTTCCCGTCATGGGAGAGCAAGTAGGGAACCAGAGGATCTTTGGAACATTCCAGTGCTTCAGAATATGCTAGTGCTTTGGCAGTTTGGTCCTGTCTGTGTAATCCACTTTTATCTCTGAGACACAAGGGACTCACATGTAGGATGCGCTGGGGGGAGCAGCCAAACTCAAGGGCCGGATTTCTCTGCTTCCCAGCTATGGGACCTCGGACCAATAACTTGTCTTCCTGAGGCTCAGTTTCCTTAGTTGTACAGTGGGGACAGTGACAAGTCCTACCTCAGGGGGTCATGGTGGAGACCCGAGTAAAACAAAGGCAGGAAATACAGTGTGTGGCTCAGAGGAGCCCAGCAGGTGGAAAATCTCTTGGGGAAGGGAGGCGCCCTGATGCTGTCAAGGGGCCGACTGTGTGTGGTGACATGTGGGCAGAGCCCGGGAGATCGACCGGGGTCTGGGTGAGCGACCAGCCCTCTTCAGGGTAGCTGTGCAACTCGGGTCTCCATTGCTTCTCTGAGGCTGTTTCTTCCGCTAGAAGATGCAATAAATAACCGCCATTTCCTGGTGATGCTATGCGATTTCAGACTTCACACATGTTAAGAGCTTTAGTAAATGCCAAGCTGCCATCCTGGTGAGGTGTTGACGGGATCGTTTTATTTTCTGGGAGTTGCTTCTTCAAAGCATTTAGTGTATTTAGGGATTTGGGAGGGTCCGCCGCCTCATTGGGTTGGCCACCTGCCCATCATCATGGCTCAGCGAACCACGTCCTGCAGGGGGTGGGATGTAACCCCGGCCCGTCCCACCTGCCTCAATTCCTGCAGGCTGAGCCCCTGGCTGCTCTTGGAGAATGGCTGGTATGGTATTTAGGGGCCAGGACTCTGGAGTGGGTCTGGGCTCTACCATTTTATTTATTTATTTATTTTTAAAGATTTTATTTATTTAGAGACAGCATGCATTAGCTGGGGGAGGGACAGAGGGGGAGAATCTCAAGCAGACTCTGTCTTGAGCGGGAGCTCCCCCCCCCCACGAGGGGCCTGATCCCATCTCCCTGAGATCATGACCTGAGCCGAAATGAAGAGTCTGACGCTTAACCGACAGATCCACGCAGGCGCCCCTGGGTTCTACCATTTTGACCAAACTCAGGAAACTTCTCTGAGCTTCCCTTTCCTCATATATAAGACCAGGAGGCCTCCCAGACACCAAGTCTCTTGATAAAGTGATAGCAATTAAAAGTGTGCCACATGCCCAGGAATTCACAAAGAAGTCACTGGGAAAAAATCCAGAGACACTCCCCCCCACACACACACACACCTCAGAAAAAGACTCAAAAGAGATGAGATTTGTCTAACAGGATTTCCCAATGTGGGCCCTACTGACATTTGAGGCCGAATTATTCTTTGCGGTAGGGGCAGTCCTGTCCAGTGGGCTCCACCCACTTCCTCCCACCCCCAGTTGCCACAATTAAAAATGTCTCCAGAATTTGCTAATGGAGGGCGCCTGGGTGGCTCAATCGGTGAAGCGTCTGCCTTTGGCTAGGGTCATGATCTCAGGGTCCTGGAATCAAGTCCTGCATCAGGCTCCCCGCTGAGCAGGGAGCTTCTCCCTCTCCCTCTGCCCCCCCGCACTCATGTGGGCGTGCGCTCAAATAAATAAAATATATATTTTTTAAATTTGCTAGTGGAGAACAGTGCCCCCATGAGAACTCTGGTCTAAACTGAACGTGGGCTTACAAACCAGTGGGAAAAGGACCAAAGATGAAGTCATTAAAGGGACAGTGCTCTCCCCTCACCGATCGCACAAGCCAGAGGTGTACCTTGAGATGCATACATTAGAAAATATAGAGGAGTAAGAGCATGGCCGTAGGTCAGGAGACCCTTCTGCCCAACAAGAAAGGCAGACTCGTTCGCTTCAAAACAAACAAAAGCTATCTTCAGGGCAAAAGTGACCTTAAACCAGGTTGAAAGATACAATGGGATCGTAAGAGGTACCGACTCACTGAGTGGCACGGGATAAAAGGGATTCAATGAACCGACGGCATCAGGCACTTGGCACAGGGCTTTGTATACAGGTGGCACTCAATTACGGCAGCTCCGACCCATGCAACAAATACTGATCCTCCCCTTAACCCCTGTATGAACCTCAGTCGGAAGGCTTCCTGCCTTCCAGGGACCCGGAGCTCACCATCTGCCTCTGCTCTGGGAATACTGCCCAAGCAGCCCCTGCATTCTGAGGGAGGGAGGGAGAACTCGGGAAGCAAGCCTGGAAGGCCAACGCCCTCACTTCTCCGCAAGTCAGCCCTGAGGGGGTGGCGCCCGCATCAGCCCAGTCTGCAGACTGGGAAACTGAGGCTCAGGACACCACCCTGCCCTGCCGTCACCCAGCAAAGGTCCGGAGACTCAGATTGTCACTTCTTTTTATTGAGTTACAAGTTGAGATGTGCAGGTTCGGTGGCGCCAGCCCCCCTCTCCCTCCCCCCTCCACTTGGGCAACAATAGCTCCCAGCGCCAAGAAATGGGGGTGGGGAGGGTCTCGGGCAATGAGGCGGGGCCCCCGGAGGGTCCCAGGATCAAGCACGGCTGACACGGAAGACAGAGAGCGGGGTTGGGGGGCTTGCCTCGGCCGTGGCGTTGAGGGGTAGGGGGCTTCTGTACAAGGTCATCCTCCACGGGGGTTCCGGTTCCGACCCCAAAACACCGATGGGTCCGGCAGGATGGAAGCGGAGAGCGGTGTATCCACTTGGCTCCGGAGAATGCCTGGCCCTACCCAGCCGGCCTGGGGGCGTCTCGCTGACCTGACTCCGCCCACCGGAGCGAACGGCCCGCCCAGGTGGTCCGCGCTGCGGACGAGGGGCGGCTCCTGGCTTCCTCCTGCTGTTCCTCGGCTTACCAAGCGATGCCCGGCCGGCCCAGCGGCTACTTCTCTTCTGGGGGCGCGGGCAGGGGCTCGGGCAGGGCCTTGGGCGAGGGCTCGGGCTCCCAGAGCAGGAATTCGTGGAGCAGCGTGTTGACTGTCTCCGGACACTCCAGCATCACCATGTGGCTGCCTTCATCAATGAGCTTCAGGAAAGCCAGCAGCAGGATCTGCGGGGGAGAGGGGCGGGCGGAACACAGGCTCAGTGTGGCAAAGGCAGGCTGCCCTGGGACACCCAAGCCCATCCACACCAGGCCTGCAGCCTTAGGAAGTCGCTCCTGTGGTCTACCCTTCATCCCTCTACTTCCACCCAAGGGGGAGCTGGAGGATAGCCTGTTGTCCCAGTGGAGCTCAACTCAATATTCATTCAACATTTACGATGTGGCTACAATAGGTCCAGAGCAAGATTTCTCAACCCCAGCACTACTGACATATAGGGCAGGATCATTCTCTGTGGTGGGGGCTGTCCCGTGTACTGCAGAATGTTGAGCAGCATCCCTGGCCTTGACCCACCAGATGCCAGTAGCAGGGACCCACTCCCCCCACCCCACAGTGTGACGACTTATTATGTCTCCAGACATTGCCAAATATCCCTAGGGAGCAAATTCACAGCTGGGTGAGAATCACAGAGATAGACAAGGTCTCTCATGCCAAGACAAGGTCTCTCATGCCAGGCTTTCCAACCTTGGCATTACTGACACCTGGGGTGGGTGGGAACATTCTTTGCCAAAGAATCATTCTGTCCATTACAGGATGCTGAGCAGCATCCCTGCCTCCACCCACCAGATATCAGAAGCCCTTCCCCCCCAATACATGACAACCAAAAAAGTCTGCAGACATTTCCAATGTCCCCCCGGGGCTCAGAATCCTTGCTGGTTAAGAACCACTGGTCCGGAGCTATTCCAAGTGCTGAGGATCCCAAGACCCTTTCCCGGTAGTGTCTGATCTAAAGATCCTCTGGCCCACCCTCTCCCAGAATTATGTATTGCGTCCCTGGTCACTTATACAAATCCCAGCTGTGCAGAGCACCTTTTATGTGCGGTGGAGAAAGCACCCTATCCTGACACCTGTCCAGGGCAGCCCCATGTTCTGGATTGCACTCTCAATCTAAGCTCTCCCTTCCCTGGGAGCACAAGGCAGAATCCCTCTGGAGCGCGTGAGCAGGGAATGGAGCAGGGGGGATGGCTCAGGTGCCAAGGCCCTACCTCGGCCATGCGCTGGTCTTCCTCCACTGGCACAAACTTGTCGTGCATGCCATGAACGAGCAGGACGGGCACAGTGAGCTCAGCATGGTAGACCTCGTCGCCTTCAGGCCAGTACTGGCCACTCATCATGGCTCGCAGGACGAAGGATGACACGTTGAACGCATTGCCCTCCTTCAGTAGCTGCTTCTCTTTGGCTCCTTGGCGGGCAAAGCCAGCCCTGGTGGGCAAAGCCAGCCCTGGTGGTGGGGACGCACTCCTGGAGGCCTCGTGCCAGCCTGGCTACCAGGGGCGCCTCCAATGCCCGTCCCAGCGGCAACACAGCCTCCCCTCCCACCCAACTCAGGGAGATGCCCAGTCTGCCAGGGCCGGGGTGACTCACTTGAGAAAGCTCCAAGCCAGGCAGGGTGACAAGCAGTGCAGGACGCAGGTGGGCATGTTGAAGATGGAACAGAAGCTGGGTTCCAGTGCTGTGGGGCCCCCGCCGTTGATCATGATCACCTTGTGCACCAGGTCTGGGTACTCATGTGCCAGGAACGTGCAGAAGGAGACACTGCCAGTGGGTAGGTGGGTGGCGGGAAGGGTTGAAGGGGGGTGGTCAGCAGGATCCAGGCAGTGAGGGAGTTAATGCCCTCCCCTCACCCAGAGACAGGTCCTTGAAGGCCAACGTTCTTCCCCTGGGGCCCATGGGCACTGGATGGGAGTGAGGGATGGGGGGGCATCTTGAGGGCCCCCAAACTACAGGACTATGTGTGTGTTAACAGTGATTTTTTCCCCCTTCTTTTTGGAGAGAAGATCCAAATCCAGAGCTTTCATCAGATCCTCAAAGCTGCCATGACCCGCAAATGGGTAAGAATTACTTATTGCCAAGTGTTAAGAAAGCCACCCAATTAGACTGCTACTCTTTGGTTTCCCAGAGAAGGTCCCTGTTTCCTGTGCATCCTTTCCCTGTAAGGCTCCTCTGTCTCCAGCCTCTAGGCATGGCACATCAGCCTGCCTTATGCAGGGTGGCAAGGTGCAGCCTGAAGAGCCCCCACAGTCCAGGTCCTCATTCCCTCTAAAGCCCGGGTTCCTTTGGCAAACGATGGCCTGTGGGCTAGCCATTTGTTTTCATAAATCGAGTTTACCATTTTGTAAGTGTGTAAGTTATTTAGTAAACAAAGTTTTATTGGAATACGGCCACGCCCATTTGTTTACAATTATGGGGGCTTTTTTGCTATGACAGTAGAGTTGTAAAGCTCCAGCAGAGACGACCATATGTCCTAGAAACGTAAGATATTTACTATCTGGCCCATTAAGAAAAAATTTACCAACCCTAGCTGTAAAGAGGAACTAGGATACAAGCAAGAGTCAGTTGGACTTAACTGTACCAGTGATTCCGTGTGTGCCTTTGGGCAGATTGCCTAACCTCTCTGAACTTCCGTCTCCACATCTGTGAAAAAGTAACTGGGCTGTCCTCATAGCATTGCTATGAGGTCACAGGAACTACCACGGATGGGTGCTCATTTAATTGAAGGAAACATTTAGCATAAGCATCCACTTTTGGGGGTGTTATATAAACAAATAAGAGCTATGTTACTTCCCAGCCTGGCTTCCTTTCTTTCCGAAACATATGTAACGTTTCTTTCTCTTGTCTAATTGCATGGGCCACACCACTAAAACAGTGGTTCTCAAACTAGGCTGGTCAGATCCTGCCTTTCCTCCTGGGTAAAAGAGAGTGGTACCACTTGGCAGTGAGCAGGCACCCAGGCCCAATCTTCAATGCAGTGGGCACTCACCTAAATGCTAGATGGTATTATGTATCACCCCTTTAAGTGGGAGTGAATTATAGCAACCTGGGCTGTTGTAAAAAGATTTTATAGGATTCTAATCAGCTCTTCCTTGGAGGCCTTGGGATCTCCAGAGCAACTGATTTTTGAACTTAAAGACACTGGTTCTTAGCCAGGGATGATTCAGACTGCCAGGGAACGTGTGGCGATATTTGAAGACACTTTTTTTTTTTAAGACATCTTTTGATTGTCATGACCATCACTAGGCCACTGTGCCAGGGGCAACCAGTGGGCAGAGGCTAGGGATGCTGCTAACATCCTACAGTGCACATGAAATCCCCTCAAAGAGAGGAATGACCTAATCCAAAATGTCAGCAGTGCTGGGACTGAGAAACACTGCTTTAAAAGAATATGAGGGGCGCCAGGGTGGCTCAGTTGTTAAGTGTCTGCCTTCGGCTCGGGTCATGATCCCAGGGTCTTGGGATCGAGCTGTGCATCGGGCTCCCTGCTCAGCGGGAAGCCTGCTTCTCCCTCTCCCACTCCCCCTGCTTGTGTTCCCTCTCTCTCTGTGTCTGTCTCTGTCAAAAAATAAATAAAATCTTAAAATAAATAAATAAAAGAATATATAACAATAGCAGTGGTGGTGGGAATCCCTATCTTGTTATAGATGTTAATGAGAGTTTTCCAGGAGAGAAGTCAGTGTTTGGTGATTGGGTGTCCAGTCCCTGCTACCCCCATCTCTCACCCCTATCCCCACCCCAGCATTGGCTCACCCGTAGGAATGCCCAATGAGCACGTTTCTCTTCTTGGCATAACGCTTGAAGATGGCACGCATGTCCTCTGCCAGCGCATAGAAGGTGTAGGCTGCGGCCACCTGGGGTGCCGAGCTGGCCCCGTGACCGGCCAGATCGGGTGCCACCACCTCATAGCCCAGGCGCACAAAGAAGTCCAGCTGCTCCTTCCAGATGGCCAGGGAGCCGCCAACACCGTGGATGAAAAAGAGCACCACGTCGGCCTGGGCACCTTTGCAGCTTGTGATGCGCTTCTCACAGTCAATGTGGATGGTGCGCTTGGGGCGCCGGGCTCGCCGCCGGCGCCCGCCACTGCCACTCCCGGCACCACCTGAGCCTGAGCGGCCATCGCTGCCCGCTGGGTCGGCCAGCTCCACCTCTAGGGCGGCCGGCGGCTCCCCGGAGCCATTCTGCCCATGCAGGAGGTCAGCTCGAGGTGCCCGGCCCAGGTTCTCCACCAGTAACCGCCCATTGCGGTACACGGTAATTCGGCGCTGGCAGCGGACCAAGCCAGACTGGTCTCCCTGGGCAGCATCTGGCAGTGGTGGAGGTGGGTTGGGGGCTGGGGCAGGCCCAGCATGCTTCACCCGCAGCACACGGCCAGGCTTGACCTCCACAAAGGTGTAGCCATCACTGGACTCGACGCTCTCCAGCGGCCCCACAGCGTTGGGCGGTGCGCCTAGCAGGCAGCAGAAGATCCCGTCGGTCACCCCAGTCAGCATGGTGTGTCCTGCAAGTGGGGGCACAACCATCTCAGGGGCCATCTAAACAAGGAGCCCTCCTCCCCCACAGCACCCACTCCCTGCACCTGCGTCAGGTGAGCTGAACTAGGAGGCCCCTTCCAGGCTCGCTCCAGTGTTTGGAGGGCCAGAGCTAGCCAAGCACCAAGATGTTTTGTCTGTCTGGTCAGTGCCTGCATGGTGGTTGGCTACCCTCCTGGGCTAGCCTAGTCTATCCTAGAGAGAAGGACCTGGCTATGGCTGACCCCAAGAGGGGTCCATAGGGAAGGTGGTATAGTCCAGGGCTGCTTCTTGGAGGAGGGGACATTGTGGCAAATGAGCCCCCCCACCGGCCCCGCAGCTAGGGTTATGGCAGCTACTGCTTCCATAACCCATTCATCCATCCATCCATCCATTCATTCATGCACACATTCTCATTTAACTTACTTTCACCAAATGGGCACATTCTGACTGCCTCAGAAGGCATTTAAAAAGGTGCAGATTCCAACGAGCCCCCATCCAGGCCTCTGAACCTGGCTCCTAAAGGGTGAGGTCCTGGGATAGGGGGTTAGGGACTGAGCTCCAGAAGGCCTTGTCCAGCTCCGCAAGACCCAGACTGGGTCTATATCACAGATGGGCAAGCTGAAGCCCAGTCTGTACCCTTGTCAGAACCCTGGCTTCTGGGGGTCTGACACACAATCCCCAAAGGTGGAAATGAGGATGGAGAAGGTAAAGCCCTCCCTGGGGGCCTCCGGTCCTCTATCCTGCTCCCTGGGCCACCCCCCCGTGTCCATGGCAACCACAGGCAGTTACATAACTCGAGGGGGATACCCGTGCAGCGCACCCCCATTGTCTAGGGCCGGGAGATGGGACTAACCCCTCCCCCGTCCCCATCCTGGGCGCCGCGGGGATAAGACACGCCGAAGGCACGGCCTCCGATGGCCCGTATTTGCTGATAGAGGGGAAGCAGGTCGCGTCCCCCCACTCCAGTGGAATCCCAACCCCGGATTGCGGAGGGGGACGCAGATGCGCCACGCCAGGTCCCCTCCCCAGAGAGTCAGATCCCTGCCTCTCAGGTGCTAGTAAGCCCTGCGGCGGGGTCGAACCACTGGGACTCCGCGGCTTCCTAAGAGCCCGAGCACTGGCTTTGTGCACACCCCCTTCCGAAGTGGAAGCCCCGGGGACCTCGATGTCCCCCTCCCAGAGCCCACTCCCCGCTCACCTCATCGAGGGCTCTGTAGCCCGGGGCAGGGCGGAGGGGTCCCGGGCAGAGAAGCCAGAGTCCGCCTGCGGCGCCGTTTTACATGGTGGCACGGGGTCGGCCCGGCGCGTCTACGCGGGCGGGCTCGGGCCCGCGGCGGTCAGCGCGGGGGCATCCCGCGGCCGCCGAGAGAGCCGGCCCTTTAAGTCTCTCCCCGGGGGGAGGGGCCGAATGCCGACGGACGGGCGTCTAGACCAATCAGGGTTATGAAATGACCTGGCCTAGTTAGATTACCAATCATAGGCGGTAGCTCCGGGATGAAGGCGGGCTCGGGAAGCAGCAGCCCCACCCCCTTTTGGGGCTTACCGAGGAGGAGGGAGGGATTGGGCCTGGCCCAGGGCCGAGAAGGGGTCCCAAACTGGGGTCTGCGGAGCTCCGGGGAGGTAGCAGCCGGAGCCCCTTACTGCGAATAGGATCCCCTCGTCTAGCCCATGCCTCCGAACAGCCTTGTACCCTCCAAGTGGGACCCCCATGGTCCTCTCTCTGTGACCTTTCTGTTCTAGAGACTCCCAGATCTTTCCAATTCTAGGTAGGGAAACTGAGGCTCATAAAGGGCACAAAGTCACAAGGCAAGCTGAGGGACTGCGGGGGCAGAGGTGGGACTTAAAACCACGGCTGTGTGATATCAAGTCCTGGAAATTGTTATTCGTTAAATCTTTAAACAGACGACTTGAAGCTATGAATAATTAGGGAATTGGAGTTTCACAGACAGGCCAGTCTAACCGCTGGCCAATCTAACCGGTGACTCTGTGGTCCCAGCTGGAGTCAGAGATCCCAAGGTTCAAACTACATTTCCCTTTGTTGTTATGTGACCTTGAGCAAGCCGTTTCTCTGAGACTCCACTTATTTCTCTATGAAATTAATCCCCTTATGAGTATGTTTTGCAGGTAAAAACACCCAGAATGATAAGTGTTCAATACATTATTGACATTATTGTACTGGTTTAGTAATATAATACCATACTGGTTTGCTAAGTGATGGTGCAGGTAGGATGGGCTTCAGAGGACAAGGGGTTAACCATTCCTTGCCCACTCCCATCTCCTGGAATTTGCTGCCAGAGCTGAATTAGGTCCCACCTCCCACTCTTGCCCACTCAGGATGCTCCTGGGAGACTACAGTTGATTCATGCAGTAAACAGTCCCCTTCTCCTGCCCCCCCTCCCCCGCCTTCCAAGCTGGGAGATTCTGGGGTGCCTGCAGGGACTCAGCCACAAGCCTAGCCCTTGAGGAGCCCCTGGGCTTTTGGGAGAGTCTGGGGAGAGTCATATGGGGACACGGTTGGGCCAAAGGTAGGGATGGGGCTGGGGGAGAGGAAAATATCCAAGGATTTTAAAAGTGAATGGGGGGGGGGAAGATGAGTAGAACATCAGGCATAGACGGATGTGGCTGAAATTTTAGAGTGTGTGTGTGTGTGTGTGTGTGTGTGTGTGTGTGTGTGTGTATGGAGGGCTTCATATGCTTGCCAGAGGAGCTGAATATTTTCCCTGGGGAAACGAGCACCATAGACGCTGAGAGAGAAGGGAAGGGGCTCAGATCTGAGTATTAGAAATTTTTTTTTCTAGGGCCAGAATGAAGGTACCACCAAGGGCAAGCTTGAAACACATGAGTTTTAGATTGAGAAACTGAATCCCCGAGAGGAGGAGGGACCACCCCAAGGACATCCAGGCAACTCCAACTTAGGTCTCCTGGGCTCCCCGCCAAAGAACAGAGACTTGGCTGGGCCCAGAGAAAAGCTGCCAGCCAGCTGTGTGCCATCTGCCTGCCTCCTGCTGGGGGAAGGAGGATCGACCAGCCGTTTCCTGAGGCTGCCACCAGCTGCGCCACGGTCACCTCGGGGCATCCTCTGCGGGTCGACGAGAGAAGGAACCACAGCTCCCAGAGGACCCCGGGACACAACGTCTTGTACGCACGCGCATGCCAAAGAGGTGCCGTTCGCCTGCCACCTGCTGGTCCACATGAGGAACTACACTCCCTTGCAGGTAAGGACGCTCCTGCGGATGGGACGCAGGCGCAGAACTACCACTCCAGGAGGACCCGGAGGCCACGCGGCCTCCCGCGGTAGGAGAAACTACATTTCCCAGAAGTTTTCGTTCGCAGCTGCAGAGCCTAATCGCTTTGGAATTAGCGGGCGTGGGGACGTCGCGACCGACGGCTGGACATGGCTTTCTTGATCGGAGCCGTAGGTCGCCAGTTGGGTCGCGTCAGGTGAGTCCTCACGGGGTCCCTTCCCCAAATCTGGAAATAAGGGCTGTGTCGGGGGCTGGTGTCAGCTGTTTACTGACAATATGATTTGCCAACGCCTTGCGCCTTGGTGGAGCCCCTCCTTGAACCCAGGCTCCGTCCAGGCACCGATAGGGGAGCTGAGGCTCAGAGTGGTGGGACGTCACGCCGAAGTCACAGAGCGCCCCCTCTGACCTTCCTCGCCATCTCTCTTCCCCCCCGCAGGTGGCTCCAGCCCCGCGCCTGGCTGGGGCTCCCCGACGCCTGGGGACTTCCTGCCACACAGCAGCACCGGGGAAAGGCGCGTGGAAACGAGTATCAGCCGAGCAACATCAAACGCAAGCACAAACACGGCTGGATCCGGCGCCTGAGCACACCGTCCGGCGTCCAGGTCATCCTTCGCCGCATGCACAAAGGCCGCAAGTCGCTGAGCCATTAAGGAGCGCGAAGCTGCCGGCAGGACCCCCATTAGAGCATTTCTCTGCCCTGGGACCTCTCCTGCCGTCGTTTTTATGGGGAGCCAGGACAACGCAGACATGAGCGCTCCTCAAATTGTGGAGTCGGCCCCTGGGGGGAACGTCTGGGGTTGGACTGAGAGTGGGAGTAGGAAGTCAGACCTTGCCTAGTCCTTTTCTACGCTATTGAATTAGGAAGAATTTCGAACATATGGCAATAGTCCACAATGAACCCTGGGTACTCAGTACACAGCTCTGACCACCAATTACCCACAACCCCCCGCCCCCTCCTGTGTTATTTGGGAGCAAATCTCAGGCATTGGGTTATTTCTTCTGTATTAAATAAGAAATCTCTCCAAGAAGATCAGGACTCTTTAAAACATAATCACAAAACTTTTCCCACCTAAAAAATGGTTAACAATTCCTTAATATTGTCTAATAAATGTTCAAATTTCCATTTGTCTTATATATGTCATTATTTTTCACAGGTCTGGGAAAGCTTGTGGGGAGTTAGGGTTTGAATCCTCCTGCTCCTTGGGGATGGGTTGTGTGAGCTTGAGCAAGGCCTCAGCCCTCTGAAGCTCATTTGGCTCCTACGAAATGAGGTGCTTATTTCTCCTTTGCTGCATCGTTGCAATAATAATACTCAGTAGCTTCCACCTAGTACTACTGGGTACTTTTTTTTTTTAAGATTTTATTTATTTATTTGACAGAGACACAGTGAGAGAGGGAACACAAGCAGGGGGAGCGGGAGAGGGAGAAGCAGGCTTCCCGCTGAGCAGGGAGCCCGATGCGGGGCTCGATCCCAGGACCCCGGGATCATGACCTGAGCTGAAGGCAGACGCCTGAGGACTGAGCCACCCAGGCGCCCCTGCCGAGTACTTCCTAGGTACTGGGTGCCGAGTCCTTGTCTGGTGGGCAGGGGAGGAGCACTTGATTTGTACCCAGGCCGTTTGTAGACAGCGGAGTCAGAACTGAGAGAGGATCGTAAGGGCTGTGGGAGCTCGGAGGAAGTTTCACCCGGCTTGCACTTGGGAAGAATGTAGTCAGAGAAGTCTTCCTGAAAGACGTAGCAGGGCCTGGGAGGGCCCAAAGGGAGAAAGGATTAGACCCAGGGGTCAGGATAAAAGATGGATGAGAGAGGCCGGAGTGTCTCAAAATTCGGGGCCAAGGAGATGGGACTGGATCCTTGGGGGACTGGGGAGCCACGGGGGCATAGGAACAAGAGAATTTGAGCTGTCGTTTCAAAGATAGGAAGAAGCAAGTGCAGAGCAGTTTAGATATGCCGAAACCTAAGGTTAGGACCCTGGAGAGGATGCTGGGGGTGTTACGGTAGGTCCCTCTCTTCCCGGACTGCTGTGGAAACTCCTTGAGACACCATACTAAAAAGTGAAGTAAACACTAGAAAAAGAGATCTGCGGAACCCCTCGGAGTTGTGGACTACAAATCCCAAGAGGCTTCAAGGGCATGGCCTCCGCCCACTTCCGGATTTTGCTGCCTTCGCTTCCAATTCCCGGGCGGGGTTTTGCTTCCTCAACCGAACTTGACCACGAAGGGAGGAGGTGTGGTGTCCAATGGACGCGTGACTTAGCGGGGTCTGGCCAATGGGAGTGCGCAGAGACTGCTATTCTAGGGGCGGGGCTAGAGGGCAGGCCAATGAGCGGGGGGCGGTGGCGCGATCAGTGTGGGCTGTGCCGTGGCTGGAAGTTACTGTGCGGCGGCGGCTAAGAAGGCGGCTGTGGTGGCGGCGGCGGCGGCTGAGGCGGTGGCTGAGGCAGCGACGGAGGAAACAGAAGATGGTGAGAGAGGCTGCTGGGCCCGTACTCCCCCTCCGTTCGACAAAATGGCGCCGCGGGCCCACCCACCTCCAGTAATCCCTGAAGCCCCTCACCTCCCTGCCCGGCCCCCTCAGGCCCCGCCCCGCCCCTCGCTCTGCCCTATAACCTTCAACCTCCGGACCCAGCTGTGAGCTTCCTGCTGACCTTTCCCCGGCGCCTTCTCTCCGACCTCTGACCCCATCTAGGCTTCCAGGCCCTGACAATCCATTCATTTCCGGGTCGCTGCTCCGCCGGAAATGGGTGGGGGTGGGGTCCCCCGAGACCCCCATTTCAGGCCTCGTTCTCGGCATGCCCAGCCTGGGTCTCTCTAGTTCAGGAGGGTTTGGGAGCCCGGCCTGGGCGTTGGGGCGGGGGAGGGGGCTTGACATCGTGACATATGGGGCTTTGTCGCCAAAGGAAGTGCGACATCACAACTGCTCAGGACCCCCAGAGCCCTGATCCCACCCCCAGCGGGCCGGGCCCGACCTGCCGCTAGGACAGAGCAGCTTCGTCTCTCTTATCCCCAGCCCCCTTCCCTGTTAAATGGAGGTAGCAGCAATAGTCCAGACCTGATAGGGTTGTGGCAGTTCAGAGAACTGATGTCATGAAGGGCTTAGGACAGTTTACAGCTCATCAACAGATGAGCTGGGTGACTTGGGGCTGG